AAGTTTCCATCCCACCCCGGATGGAGATCCCACCTCCCCTGCCCACCCCGCAGCTCCCGTACCTTCCCGGATGGCGTCGTGCAGCAGCACGTCCCCGCGGGGGCCCCGGGCGGGGTCCCCAGGGAAGGGGGTCCCCCGGGGGGCCGGGGGGGTCTCGGAGCAGCCGCTGCCCAGCGCCAGCATGTCGGCAAAAATGCCGACCTTGTCCTCCAGCAGCGCCGCGATCTGACGGTCGTGCTGCTCCATCCGCTCTGCAGAGCGACAGCGGGAGGGGGGTCAGCGGGGAGGGGGCGTCGAGGGGATGGGATGGGGTGGGATCAGTGGGGTGGGGTCAATGGGATCAGTGGGATCAGTGGGATCAGTGGGATGGGGTCACTGGGATCAATGGGATCAGTGGGGTGGGATCAGTGGGATGGGGTGGGATCAGTGGGATCAGTGGGATCAGTGGGGTGGGGTCAATGAGATTAATGGGATCAGTGGGATGGGATCAATGGGATCAGTGGGGTGGGATCAATGGGATGCACAGGATGGGATGGGATAGGATTAATGGGATCAATGGGATGGGATAAATGGATGGGATGGGATCAGTGGAATGGGATGGGATGGGATCAATGGGATGGGATGCACGGGATGGGATGGGATGCACAGGATGGGATGCATGGGATGGGATGCACAGGATGGGATGCACGGGATGGGATTGGATGGGATGCACAGGATGGGATGCACAGGATGGGATGCACAGGATGGGATGCACAGGATGGGATGCACAGGATGGGATGCATGGGATGGGATGCACGGGATGGGATGGGATGCACGGGATGGGATGCATGGGATGGGATGCACAGGATGGGATGCACGGGATGGGATTGGATGGGATGCACAGGATGGGATGCACAGGATGGGATGCACAGGATGGGATGCACGGGATGGGATTGGATGGGATGCACAGGATGGCATGCACAGGATGGGATGCACAGGAGGGGATGCACAGGGACGAGCCCCCACCTTTCAGCTTCCTCAAGGACGCTTCAGTCTCCGTCTCAATCAGGGGGAAATCCTGGCGGCTTGGACAGCTGGCAGGGCCGGGATGGGGGGTCAGAGCCAGGAACCCCCAACCCACCACCCCACACCCACCCTTTTCCCCTCCACCCAAGCACCCACCACCACCCACCCTGTAACCACGGACCCCCCAACAATTCCCAGCCATCCCGGGGGGGGTCCCCAGGTGTCCCCAAGCCCGGGGGGACACTCACAGGCTGACAGCCTGCTGGATGACCTTCATCCAGTGGTTGCGGTCGTCCCGGGAGGCCGCGTGCACCTCGTACATCTCGGGCGGCGCGGCGCTGATCAGGAACATCCCCTTCTCCTGGTTGGCGATGTCCCTCACGATCAGGTTTTGCAGGGAGATGACAGCCGGCTTGTCCTGCGGGATGGGGGAGCGCTGGCAGTGGGGAACGCTGCCCCGGAGCCCCCCGCGGGGGTCGGGGTGAGGAGGGGGCGGCTCAGCAGCGTGGGGAAGGTGCATTTATCTCACCAGCACGGGGAAGGTG